AGGGAGGGAGGGAGGAGAGAACAGAGGGAAGGAGGGAAGGGAAGGAGAGACACAGGATGAGGAAAAGAGAAAGGAAAAAAGAAGGAAGGAAAGATGGTCCTGAGACCTTCTACTAAAGGCCCCAAATGTATCAAGTTTGCCCCTCATGTATAAAAAGTTAAAAAGTATGACCACAAAACACGAAACACAGCGCATCTTTTACATGGACACACTGTTAAGTTCTCGAGGAGGAATCAGGCTCCTGTCTAATAATCTCAGACCTTCATCCCTTGCTCTGTGCTCCCAGGATTCTCTGGGAGACCCATAAAGACAGGAAAGGTGATGACACAAAGCAAATTGCCTCCCCTATTGGCTGGGAAGACTCAGAGAGGCAAAGCCACTTGTCCTCAAGTCAAGAACTGAAATCCATTCTAGAGACCCAATTACTCTGCATAGAAATCCGCCTGATCATCCACACAGATCAAGGCCCTCAGACTTGTACCAAGACACGGAGCCTTTGCGTCGAGTGCTGGTACTGATTCTCACAAGGGAAAAGAAAGACAGAACAAACAGGACCAGGTCGTGTGGGTGGCCTGGAGACCCAGAGTGCAATTGGCTTGTCCACCAGAAGACCCGCATCCTAAAACCAAAGGACCCCAGGGACCCTCACTTCCAAATCAAGGCTAGGACAAAGAATCTCTAAACCAGTCTCAAGTGCTAAGGAGTCTGTGAGTTTTAACACCAACTCAGACTGTGGTTACAAGGTTAAAGGGAGTTGTGCGCTAGCTTTGCAAGAAAGAGGACGCTCTCTTACTTTACATAGCACCTTTTAACAAAAGGCTTTGTATTTATTTTTGAAAGCAGGTTTATATATGTTTCTGTCTATCATCTCTCCTAATGACATGGAATTACCTCCAAGGCAGAACATGACAACTATTTAGTAAGAGCCACGCTAGAATAGGAATGTAGGACTGACTGCAACAAGAAACTCCCTCTGATCCTGTAAACCAGGGGTCCTCAAACTTTTTAAACAGGGGGCCAGTTCACTGTCCCTCAGACCACTGGAGGGCCAGATTACAGGCCCTGGGACAAATCGGCTGCTAAGGAGGACAGGCAGTGGTGGCAAAAATACCTGGCGGGCAGGATAAATGTCCTCAGCAGGCCGCATGTGGCCCGCGGGCCATAGTTTGAGGATGCCTGCCAGTGTAAGTTATGAAGGAGGAAGGTTAAATAGAACAGAACACTATGGCTTATTACATTGGTTACAGTCAAATAAGGACCTGGGGTTAGTATTATCTTATCTTGCCTCTTACCCTACTTCCCTCTAAAGGCTTCATTTGCACAATCTTTCACTTTGGGGATCACATTAGATTCTTGAGCATCTTCATTATTCTCTATGGAGAAGCTTCATAGTCTCTGAAGGTGGCATCTGAGTTCTGCATGGGAGAGCTCACGGTGACAGCCGTTCCAGCAGATTTCTGGGGGGCACTCCGATTATGCCTCTAGCCGTCACATCTGGGTGTCTCCCTACAGAGCAAACCCTGGGCCAATGACAGGTGCTGCTGAACTGCTAAGGTGGGAAAGGGTGGTTCACTGCTCTTGGAAGGGCCGAGCTAGCTCATACACGCACACACAGCCCAGGCATCTGAATATGTCACCAACCTCACCTAAGGACCCGAGATGAAATTTCAACACCTCCCCCTTCATATTTTAATTATCCTCAAGATAACTCCATTCTTTCCTGATGTAACTTGCGCCTACCCTGTTCCTTCTGCCTCATCTATCTTACTATCCTTTTCCTGGCCTTCTCTTTCGTCGTAAATAGCTTTACATGGTACCCTGACTTCATGTCCACTTTGTTGCTGGCATAAGCATTTTGGTTCTTTTTTTTTTTTTTTTTTTTTTTTTTGCAGTTTTTGGCTGGGGCCGGGTTTGAACCCGCCACCTCCAGTATATGGGGCTGGCGCCCTATTCCCGGCAGCATTTTGGTTCTTAAACCAAACTGTTTTCAGCTTCTCAAAAGTATTTCTACCTTGGTCTTCAGGAAGGCCCATTTTTCTGACTCAGAGAGGGAGAGAAGACCACAAAAAAATTGGCCGCCTCCAGGCAACCTTCTCGAGGCCAGAATTTTCTTCTTTTTTTGAGTGGGGAAGAAGTTTCC